TCTTGCTTGTAAGGACCCTTTGAGTTGCTCAAAGAGTAGACAGTACCTCGTTGTGGATGAAGAAAGGGACTGTCAAATACAACTTGAGTAGAAAGTGGGGGGATGCTTGGAAGATGCCTTAAAGCAGTGTATCAACCGGGGCGCCTGGGTGGCTCAGTCAGTTGAGCGTCTGGCTTCGGCTCAGGTCATGATCTCGCGGTCTGTGAGTTCGAGACCCACGTCGGGCTCTGTGCTGACAGCTCAGAGCCCGGAGCCTGCTTCGGATTCTGTGTCCTCCTCTCTCTCCACCCCAGCCCTGCTTGTGTTCTGTCTCTCTCTGTCTTTCAAAAATGAATAAACATTAAAAAAAAAAAAAAGAATAAAGCAGTGTATCAACCTTAAGTGAGCCTCAGAACCATATGGAGGACTCCTTAAAATACCCATCACTAGCCCTTATGCCCAAAGTATCTGGTTCAGTGGGTCTAAGATGAGACCCAGGCGTTTGCATTTCTAACAAGTTTCCAGGAGAGACTGAGATGCTGGTCTAGAAAACCAATGGGAAGCATTGGTCTCAAGTCTAGAGGGATATGAAAAGGAAAAATGGAGGAATGGGACTGTCAGTACAACACAATGAGAAAGGTTGATTCATTTTGCATGCTAGCATTTTACTATAAATACATTTCCCCCATTTTTCTACTTTTTAGTGTTTTAAGATACAGTTTGTTTCTTTTGAGCATCAGGAACATTGTGCCTCCTTGACCTTCCTCTTCTAGGAAAAGTTGAGTCCATTTGCCTTCAGGCTGCCTGTACTTGTAAGTCCACAATATGCCATCAGTGGGGGTCACCAATAACTTGGACACTGCAGAGGTAAGGACACTCATGCCCAACTAGGGCTCAGAAAGAACAGACCATTTTTGAAGTCCCCATGCCTTTAAAAAACATGTACTTTGTTTAAACAGTTTTGTCTAATTGTGGACCTCTCCTTTGGAGTTCATAATGAGTTTGTGGGGTAAACTACATGGAGATAATTTGTAGGTGTTTGGTAATATAGGAAAGAAAAAAGAGCTTTCAGTGTGAGAAAACTTAGGGTAAATGATGAATCTATGGTCTGCTTGAGAGATGATGTAGAAGCACTGTGGCTAGAGGCATTTGGTTTGTGGGGTGATAATGTCTGTAACGTCAGAGAGAGATGGGTCTCGGGCAGCAGAAAAAAGCTATCTGAAGAAAAAATATCAAATCTGAAATTGAGTGTCTTCTGCTTTGAGTGTGTAGAGAGATCAAGCAGTTCTTATTGTCATAGCTGGCATGTCGGGACTAATGTTGAGTTCACCAACTCGGTGATGTGGTCTGCTGTGAATTCTTTCGGATACCCGAAACTCTATGCCAACTGGATAAGCGTCTCTTTCCAAGAGGAATTGTGTAGTTTTAGTGGTGAGCCTCTCAGGCACCTGAAATGCTTAAATTTCTCAGGCTGTGTTCAGAAGCTTGAAGATCATGTGTACTAGACCATGACGAATTCCCCAGCCCCTTACAGATGGTTGGAACCATCTGGGTCTCAGGTCACAGTCCCTGTGCCTGAAGTGGCACTATCATCTCCTCTGCCTTATATGACCATGGTGCTGGCCTGAGCAACTGGTACATTAAAAAGAAGAGTTGTTGTTCCTAGAGGGTTTATGACTAGAAGAGTCACTGTGGTCTAGACTGGGAAGGAACTTTGCTCAATCTAGTGACCCCCATTCTTTTTTTTTTTTTTTTTTAATTTTTTTTTTCAACGTTTTTTATTTATTTTTGGGACAGAGAGAGACAGAGCATGAACGGGGGAGGGGCAGAGAGAGAGGGAGACACAGAATCGGAAACAGGCTCCAGGCTCCGAGCCATCGGCCCAGAGCCTGATGCGGGGCTCGAACTCACGGACTGCGAGATCGTGACCTGGCTGAAGTCGGACGCTTAACCGACTGCGCCACCCAGGCGCCCCTAGTGACCCCCATTCTATCCATCAGAGTCACCTGAGTGAACAAGTGCATTCTGGAATATAAATGCACATTGGGATATTTGGGGCTAGTAGTTAGTCATCTTGATACTATTTGCCTTAATCAGATCAATATTTGGCTTACGTAATTAAGATACTGGAGTTTCAAATTGGATTGGGAAAAGAAAGGAAAAAGAAGAGAAAAAGGCATAGGCTTTTGAAATCAGTCACATTGTTAGGTCTCCAATTACAAAATCAAAACACAAACAGAACAATTAATATACTTGCTTCCCACTGATAGATGTCACTTCCTTTCATTCTTTGGGAGGGATATTTAAATTTGGTTCAAGTTATATTGAAAAAAAAAATAAATTTGGTTCAAGTTTAGACAATAATCTTCAAATAGATCATGATTTATTTTCCAATGTATCTTTATAAAGTACAAAATTTATATTTTATCCCTAATTTCAACGTGTTTAAGTTTGCAAAATTGGAGGCGTAACAAAACAAATCTTGAAATTCCACTTACTTTGGATTTCCCAGAAAGTGAAATCGAGATGCTTATTCAAAACAGCAGAAATAGATCCAACGTCCTTAAAACACAGAAGGCTATTTTTAGAATGTACCAGTTCATAGATACAGACAAAATCTCAGTAATATGTTCCTGGGGAAAACACAGAAGATAAAATGTTTCTCTTAGTTGTTAGTTATACTTTGGTATTTATCATCTGTCTATCTATTGATCAATCCAGCGATCTACCAATCGATGTATTTGGGTCCACAACTGGGAGGGAAGCATCTTCTCGCTGCACAACTGACTGGTAGGAGTGGCAGGAGGATAGGGCACTGAGCCCATCCTGATGTGCATTGTCTCCTTTCCTACAATGTGCAGTGATCTGCCTGGATGGTATGTATGGGGAGGCCGCAGTTATACAATTTTGTCCCTAATTGGACCAACAAATTAGTTTAAAAAAATTCTGGCTAAGAGCTAACCCCATTTTCCACCCAGCCTTATCAGTTTATGAGTTTATACTGTGTTATGACTCTTTGACTTTTGGGTCTTCTTTCTTTTAATGAGTTCCAAATTCACAGCAGACTTAAGGAGGTGAGCAGTCATCACCCTAAAACTCCAAGAGACAGTGCTGCTGAGATTCCTTGAAGAAAGTCATTTTAAGAATTACTCTTTATAGGGTTCCTGAGTGGCTCACTAGGATCCAGCTCCTGATTTTGGTTCAGGTCACCATCTCATGGTTTGTGGGATCGAGCCCCACATCGGTCTCCACATCAGCACAGAGCCTGCTTGGGATTCTCTCTCTTCCTCTCTCTCTACCCCTCCCCCCCATAAGTAAACATTAAAAAAAGAATTTCTTTTTATAATAGAGCTTTATTTTTCTTCTGCTCCTTAGTGTGTTCATGAGTAGAGAAGAAGGGGTGTAAGAACCTCACTATTTACTTGACTCCTATTCTATCCCATCCTCATCTATGCCCTACTATAGCTACCCACATCACACTGCTTTTCCACCTCTATCCTCCCTTCCCTGTCTCTGTACCACCAGGTACTATGTTTTCTTTTTCACCATCTTTTGTTTGACCTTTTCTAAATTCTTTCTTTCTGTCTTAACCCATACAAATTTTCTGGCTCACTTACTTTGAGCTAAGAGTGTCATTATTTACCCCCTTCAAGTGGGATTTATCGCATACTGCTTCGCAAGTTCACCTACAACTGTGTATTGCAGTTGTAGTTTGGATTGTCTTTGTGTTGTAACATTCTGTTGTTATATAACAAGGCCCGAAAACTCTTTGGAGGCAGGCACTTGGATTTACACTCACTAGTATGTCTCAATGCTTTGGAAATATTAGATACTTCATGAATATTAGTTGGTTGATTTACCTACTGGACAGTCTTTGCAGTGCTGTTTTAGGGTAAATGTTAGAAAAATGGGGTCTCTGACAGGTGATTGATTCATTTTAGCCAATGGTTTCAAAATATGCAAACTTGGGGTGCCTGAGTGGCTCAGTCAGTTAAGCATTTGACTTTGGCTCAGGTCATGATCTCATGAGTTCGAGCCCTGCGTCGGGCTCTGTGCTGACAGCTCAGAGCCTGGAGCCTGCTTCACATTCTGTGTCTTCCTCTCTCTCTTCCCTTCCCCACTTGCATTCTCTCTCTTTCTCAAAAATAAACGTTAAAAAATAAATAAAATATGCAAACTCTTATTAGTTTTACCTTCAATAAGTTGCCATTGGAGGCTGAAAGAAAGAATAGTTGTTTCTATTTTGACTTAATGCAAATAATAGTAATATTCTTGAGTCCACAATACAAGAGTCATCAAGCTAAGCATTTCTAGATATTAATCTCATTTAATCATTACTTAATTGTGATGCTGCTGCTGTCATTATCCTTGACTCGCTAAAGAATCTGGGGTTCCAACATATTGCCAGGTTGTAGGTATCAGAGCTGGGATTTGAACTTGAGTTCAAAGCCCCAACTTCTAGCCATGCTGCCGGAAAGCTTTTCTATGTCTACTCTCAAGAGGCTGCTGAGGCATTCAGCAGGTGTTTTGTGCTCTTCAGCTGTGGTGTTAACCAGAGGAAATGTGTAGGATGCTAGTCTGGTGGTTGAGAATATTGTTCTGAGATCAGCTGGGCCAGGGCTTGATTCTCCTCCTCATTACATAAAAGCTGGGCAATCAGGAATGGGTTCCTTAACCTTTCCAGTTCTCAATTCCATCATCTAAAATATCAAGATAGTAATTCTCTCAAATGAGATAATGCTAACAAAACACTTAGCACTGAGCCTTAAGTGCTCAAGAAATGTGAGCTGTTATTATTACAATTATAATCCTGCTGCAAACTACTAACGATTACATTAGTAAAGGAGGTGAGGAAATCAGCCACTGGAGTCCTGTGTAAAAGAGATACTTGGAAGGACTGACAGAACTGCAGTCTCCCCGGGGGCTTAGAAATCTATAGCATACCAATGTTTTCTGAAAACTTTATTCTTTTCTTTAGATGTAAGAGGAATTGCATGGCACCTGCCAGTTAACTCAGTGAGGCTGCCGGTGGATCAATAAAGTCATACATATATGGACAAGAAAAGATATGGGGAAATAAAATACAAGCAAGTGTACATGTGACACACACAGCGTCCCCACGTGCTACTTCACTCCCTCTGTCTAGGGTTTTAGCTGAGCCTTGTGCACTGCATGTGGAGAGCTCTGAGGCATCTGTGTGGAATGCTGTCCACAGGGAAGAAGGTAAGTCAGGAGTAACAAGTCTCATTACGTGGCACCAGAAAATTTGGAGAGCTTTTTTCTCTTTTACCCTTTCTGTGTTTCTTTAGGTTCTGTGCTTTGTTTGCTAAATGAACTTAGGTCTGTGATGGCTTTATATTTGAATGACTGCAGTACCAGAAAAAACATCATCTATAGAGTGAGCAGATCTGGCTTGGGATCCCTACTCTCCCACTCACTAACCTAGTGACCTTGGGGACATCCCTGACTGGGCTGAGCCCCTGTCATCCCTAAAGTGGGGAGCACAGTGATGTCACTTCCCTTTAACGCCCAGGATTGTCATCACGGTCAAGGAAGGCACAGGTGTGAAGTCCTGAGCTGCCCCAACATTTTACTGAAAGAGCTGTCATACAACTGCTTTGCACCTTTGTCGCTCACGGAATTCTCTTTTCTTTGGATACTAATGAACTTATAGGATATGTTCTCTTGTTCCCTGTGCTGTTTCCTCCTAACCTTCCCCATCCTAAGTCTGTAAAAAAGAATAGGAAAGTTTAAGGACTGAAAACACTCACCAGCATATTTGTGCTGTTGGCCTTCACCTGCCAAGGCTGAGCGAGCATCTTGGTCCATCCACGACCCACCTGCCCTCCTCTACCCACCATCCTCCTGGAGCTCCTGTTGCAGCTGGTTGGTATGGGGACACAACGGTGAACATTTTGGCTTTCTTCCATGTCTCCCATTCCCAGCCTTGGTGTCTCTTCTGAGTAGTTAGTTCACCCAAGTCCTGCCATCAAGCAGGAGATAATGTGTCACAGGTGAGGTAGCAAGGCCTGGAAAAGGAAGTTACTAAGCTGAGGCTAACTGAAGGAGCCAGAAGCAGACCTTTGCATTACACCATACTGTGTTTCCCTCCAACCCAGGGGACAAGGGAAGGGCAGAAAAGCCAGGCCTGAGGAGGGAGAGAGTTAGAGGAGTAGACATAAAATGAAAAGTTGAAGGGGCTACTTAATTAATTTTTCCAGTAGTGAAAGCATTTATGCAAATATATATATTCTTTTTTTTTAATTCTTTTTAAAATTATTTATTTATTTTTGGGAGACAGAGAGACAGAGTGCAAGCAGGGGAGGGGCAGAGAGAGAGAGAGGGAGACACAGAATCTGAAGCAGGCTCCAGGCTCTGAGTTGTCAGCACAGAGCCTGACATGGGGCTCTAACCCACGAAGCGTGAGATCATGACCCCAGCCGAAGCTGGACACTTAACCAACTGAGCCACCCAGGTGCCCCAGCAAATAGATACATTCTAATGTGTGCATGATAGAGTATACAAACAGCTATGCAAGTTCCCCAGCTGCTCAAGACAAAAATTCTTTTTAAATTCTTTTTATTTTTTTTTTTAATTTTTTTTTCAACGTTTATTTATTTTTGGGACAGAGAGAGACAGAGCATGAACGGGCGAGGGGCAGAGAGAGAGGGAGACACAGAATCGGAAACAGGCTCCAGGCTCTGAGCCATCAGCCCAGAGCCCGATGCGGGGCTCGAACTCACGGACCGTGAGATCGTGACCTGGTTGAAGTCGGACGCTTAACCGACTGCGCCACCCAGGCGCCCCTTAAATTCTTTTTAAAAGTTATTTACTTTTGAGAGACAGACAGACAGACAGATAACGAGTGGGGGAGAGGCAGAAGAAGGGGCTGGGGGACAGAGGATCTGAGGCAGGCTTTGCACTGACAGCACAAAGTTGCTGCAGGGCTTAAACTCATGAACCCGTGAGATCACGACCTGAGCTGAAATCAGACACTCAACTGACTGAGCCACCAAGGCTCCCCAAGACAAAAATTCTTAAAGACCAACCTAGAGCTGGGAAGATCTGAGAAAAATTCTTATTAGATATCCCTCCCTGGTCCAGCTCCAACCTTTGCTCTAAATTTTTTTTTTTTTTTGAAATTTAAAAAAATTGCAGAAGAACAAAGATAAAGCTATAATAATGGTTAATTCCATGACTTAAAATGAGCCATTATTAACACCGTGGCATGTCTGCTTCTAGTCTTTTTTAAAATGAAAGTACTGGGGCACCTGGGTGGTTCATTCGGTTAAGCATCCAACCCTTGGTCTAGGCTCAGGTCGCGATCTCACAGTTAGTGGGATCAAGCCCTGCATTGGGCTCTGCACTGACAGTGTGGAGCTGCCTGAAATTCTTTCTCTCCCTCTCTGTGCTCCTCCTCTACTCATGCACATGCTCTCTCTCTCTCTCTCAAGATAAATAAATAAGCTTAAAAAAAAGTTAAAAAAAATGAAGGTACTTTATCATTATGTGCATAAAATTATAAATGCTTTTTGGAAGTAAAATGTATTAAGTTTAATGTTACTTGAAATTATAGAAGTAAGATTAAAGGGACTATTGAACTTCAAATACATATTTCTTCATCTTGAGGAATATTGTTCCATGAAAGGACTTTTTTAATTAAAAAATATGTCAATGTTTATCTTTTGAGAGAGAGAGAGAGAGAGAGAGAGACAGAACATGGGCGGGGGAGGGGCAGAGGGAGCCGAAGACACAGAATCCGAAGCAGGCTGCAGGCTCCAAGCTGTCAACACAGAGCCTGACGCAGGGCTCAAACCCATGAAAGATGAGATCATGATCTGAGCTGGAGTTGGACGCTTAACCCACTGAGCCACCCAGGTACCCTAAAAGAACTTTTTAAAGTTAAGAAAACATGAAAAATATTAATGTTGGAATCAAGATTTTAAAAGTTCTAGATTTTCATTTTCAACATTGTAAATTTACTCCCTGCTATGAAAGAATAGGGCCCTAGTACTACCACACATCTTCATACCTCTGTCTCCTTTGCCTCCATTTTTTTTGTGTGTTTTATTATTATTTGTAAATTTGGGTTTATAACATTGTATTTTATCCTGTAACCTCAATTTACATTATGTTAAGAGTTAATATTTAATGGAATGTCCACCATTAGTCTTTTTAAAAAATCATACCTTCTCCATTTCTGAGTTTTTAATTTTAATTGAAAATGAATTGGCAGGTGTTCATTGTCTAGTTTTTTGTTTTTTGTTTTTTTCAGAGAGCTCATGGGTAGCATGCTCCCTTGTCCCTCCATGGTTCATAATGCTTTCCTATTTGACTGCCACCTTGGGTGTAACATTATTGGGTCATGCAATTTTCACATCAGAACAATTGTTCCATTGTCTTACAGCACTGATTGATCTAACAAAGTCTGATTTTAATCTCTCGTAGGCTATTTGCTTTTTCTGTCCAGTTGCCTAAAATTGTTCTATTCCTGAGATTTTAGGAACTTGACTAGAATCTGTCTTAGTGTAGTCCTGTATCAGATTTTCTCAGAATACATGTTCTTTCCAATGACAGATGATTAAAAATTTTTTTCTTCAACTCAGATAAATTTTCTTAGATAATATTTTTGAATACATAACTAGTCCATATATCAGACTTTTTTCAGGAATGCTAGTTATCCTGCCTTCCATATCAACTGTCTTTTTTTTTCATTGCTATAATTTATCTTTTTAAATGTACATGTACTTTAATGATCTCAAACCTTTATTCTATGCCAGTAATTTGATTATCAGTGGTATTTATTTTGTACTAATTTGTTTCCATTGGTCAAAGTTTTCTTTTTTAATAATACTCTTGTTTCACCATTTTATCTTTGGCTCAATATTGACTTTCTATCCTTGTTAAGAAGATATTCTGTATCAAGAAGCATTTGTGAGAAAAGTTTATTGAGACACGTTTCTTCAAGGGTTTTTTTGTTTGTTAGTTTTTTGTGTTGTTTTTTTTTTGATGTTTTGAACAGTAAGCTGCTGCTTCTCTGATCATGGAGAAAAGTCTTCCCCAACTGAATTGAAACAAAAAAGCCCCAAATTATCTCAAGACATCTGCATTTTTCATTCTGATTTTCTAACCAAACTCTCAGAAACCAGGAGAGCAAAAGGGCTTTGTACCTAACCACGGTGAACACAAGCACCTCATAGAAAGCTCACACTGGGTCACCAAGTATCTCCTTATCACGAGTTGTTAGTTTTTATTTCCCACTCTGTTCAATTCCCAGGCCTCTTGCAGACTTTGTGTGCTTTTTGCAAGAGAACATTTCTAATTTTAGATTGCTGGCTTGCTTAAGCACATGTACTCCCACAGAGAAAGATGAAAAAACCTTCCTTTAAACCGCATTTTCTTTGTATGTTAACTAGAAAATAAATACAGTAGAAACTTCTAAATTAAAATTTAAATTGTTGGCAATCTTCTCTATAGGATAAGCAACTTCATGCATCTGACAATACTTCTTTTGGCATCTGAAACTAAAAAATATCTAATTAGCTGAGACAATGAGGTACAAAGAAATAAATGCACAATTAAGTCTTTCTAAGGGAAATACCCAACATATTCAAAGGCAAAATGCAAAGACTTAAGACGTATATGGTATTTAAACTGTATTCAAGTAATAGCAAGATTATGGTAAGATAATTAACCACTTCCATTTATAAGAACTCAATTCAGTGTCTTTACATTTCTCCTCACAGTTAGAAGGAGGCAATCCATTTCGATTACATGTGCTAAATTTTGTGGTCTTCTGAAATGACATACAGTAATGGGCTGTTTCAGCAAATATAATAAAATCGTTTCATTTACTTTAGCATGCAAATTCAAGCTCCCTACTGCCATTTAAAACAGAAAAAAAAGTTGCTGGCATGGCATATGCTGATGGCTTTGTTTTATTCTCCTTAGGCTGAGAGCAGGTAACAGAGTTAGCAGATAATTTTGGTAATTTTATATGGAAAACATTACAACAGCATGCAAAATGTTTAATGGCACAGTGATTTTTGCTTAAGGTGTTTACTGACCAGAATCTCCTTTATAAATTGCTGCCTTCTGGAAATATTTTAAAAAGCACACAAAATTTAAATTTTGTGAAACGTTGCCTAGGAGTTGATTCTATACACATTAGAAGGGGAAAATCCAACTTTCCTTTCGTTGTTGAAATGGAAGAAATGCAAAAGCTAGAAAAAAAATTAGATATCATAAATAATGTTTCTCTTTTCTGGTAGCTCATGATTCATGGAAACTTTCATTCAGAAGAATCACTGTGGAAATCTGGGCCTTCTGAGATGTAGTCACAGAATGAAAGATGCCCTAGTCCCTTTTCTTGCTCTTTCTTGTGTTTATCAGACTTTACATTTCCTTTCATTTGAGGCTGTAACCACGGGCTAATTCAAAGTCTAAAATATGTTTGTCTCAAAAAGCCATGAGTAATGGAAAATAAATGTAACCACCCAAAAGATGTGGTACCAATCAGAATAAGAGGATTTGAGGGGCGCCTGGGTGGCTTAGTTGGTTAAGCATCTCATACTTCATGAGATCAAGCTCTGTGTTGGGCTCCTCACTGGCAGCACAGAGCCTTCTTGGCATTCTCTCTCCCTCATTCTTTGCTCCTCCCCAACACCCTCTCTCTCTTTAAAAAATTTTTTTTTTAAAAAAAGAGGATTTTATAAATAGGAATGGTCATTTAGCTCCACTTTCAGAACTAGAACAAGTATTTGCTTGAATGCAACTGAGATGGCCATTTTGCCAAACAATAACACTTGCAAAGATCCTGGGGGAGAAAAGCAACGCCTTCCAGAATAATACAAAGCAATGAACAACACTCAGAATTGAGTGAGAAT